TTGCAAGGCTTAACCCGGCTCGCTTTGCCTGCCGTGCCCTGTCCTGCGGCCTTTTATCCGGAGCGGCTGGGGTGCAGGTGGGGGAAAGCACTGGGTCTGGAAGGCTCCCCCCTTCCCCAAGCTGGGGTCAGAATCCGTTTAGTGGGGTTTCAATAAGAACGGGGTAGGGTGGGCCGCAGGCAGGAGTAGATGGCATTTGTATCTGGCTCAACTCCGGGCTTTTAGGACCACTTGGTGGTAGCCAGGCTTGAACTAGAGTTTGCCTCCACCTCGAGGGGAAAGTTACAGGGTTCAGGGCCCCTGGGTGTGGTGGCCGGTTCTCTACCAGAAAACAAGGAAAGAAATTTCGTTTGTTCTGGAAAAAGACAGGTCTCCCAGGGTCAGGAACCTCTCTCTTCACGCGAGCTCCTGGTGTATGCAGGTGCCCTGTGCTGGGATTCGTTTATGGGCAGATAGAACTTGAGAACCAGGTAGAGCTGAAGCTCAGCCAAGGCGTCTAGAAAATGTTTCCCAGCCGCGTTGACAAATTGCAAACAACTTGCATCTAACGAAAAAGATTTAGCAGTTGTCATGCTGCTGTGAGCAGCTCCAAGCTGCTGGTGGAGGAGGAAGGACAGGGTGATTTGTGGGTCGCCTTGGGGCTCTGGTGGCCACCGGTTGGGCAGTGGAGCTAGAACCCGCTTAGGAGATACAGTCCCCGGTGGTGGCAGGACTGGGTGCCGTGACACCCAGGATCTCACAATGGGATGGCAGAGCCACCAGGAAGACCAGGAAAGAGAGAGCTTTCTGACTAGAGAGGCTGTCAAAGCAGCAGTGTAGAAGGATCTGAACCAGACGAAGCGCCCAGTGACTCCCCAGTGTCCCCGACAATGTGCGCGGGATACTGTGTGCTGTGAATGAAATATCCCTATGGAAGGCGTCCCTAAGCACTGGCTTACTTGAGCCACCACCCGCTGAGGGCCAATTAGCTCCCAAAAGGAGAAGGCGAGAAGAATTAGGTTTCAAAGAGAGGGCAAACTTAGGATCCCAGAGGGGTTGCCAGAGATGAGCGAAGTTTAAACAAAGGGCGCAACACTGAGCTGGAAGCGGGGCTGCCTGGGCCCTGGCTTGGCAGGCCGCCACACCTTTGAAACAGTGGAGCAGTCCTCCAAGCCTGGGTCTGGATCCGGGGCAGAAGACCCGGGCCGTATCGTCGAATGCTCTAACAGGGAGTCTGGGGTCACTTGCAAAGGGCCGTTAGAGAATACGGTTTGATGGCCGACCTTCCTTCGTCAGAGAAACCTTATCCCCCGCCCTCCGTAATGAAAGTGACAGCTTTTTAGTGTGATCAAAAGCCCACATTTCTAGCTACCCTCAGAACGAAGCAAAAATTGAAAAAGGGACTGTGTCCCTTTGCGAGGTGTTTTGAAACCCCTACTTCCAGCACAGGAACTGGAATAAATGTGCTGTCATTGGGGTGGGAACAGCACCTACTCAGGCCCCAGCCCATCCCAGGCCGGGCTGACCCTCTTTAGAGGTCTGCTCGGGTGAGGTGGCTGGACCTGATGCGTGATGTCCTGCCAGTCCTGTCTGGCTCTCACTGGCATTCACAGCACAGGACCCCCTTTTCGTCCTGCTCAGTGCCCTGCTACCTGGTACTGAGATTTTCTCTCCTAGGCGGGTTCATTCCTGCGGGACAACCAGCAGTCCCGCCTCCAACGCAGGACCTTCGGTCTTGGTGGCAGCTGGGCCGAACAGGCTGCTGGCCTGCAGTTTCTAGGAAGGCAACTCTGGGAGCCGCAAAGGACTTGGCAGAATTCCCTGTTTTCCTCTCCAGCCGGGAGTGCGGGCAGGCAGGCTGCTGCGGGTCTCCGGAGGCCCCAGCTCAAGCACTGCCTAACTACCCGACAGCTAAGCCCTGTGCGCAGCGATTTTCTGAGCCGCCGAGCGGGGTAATTAAATCCCCGCCCGCACTCACTCTGCCTAGTAGACGCTGGGAAAGGGGGACCAACCGGGCAGGTCAGCTCCATCACCGGGCAGGGGAGAACACTGCCGCCAAGGGCAGAGGCCGAGCTGGTGGCCCAAGTCATCAGCGTCCCAGAAGGGGGGATCTTTGAAACCGCGGGTTTGGAGGGAAAGCAGCAAATTACCTGCTTACTTTGGCGCCAGTTCCCGTGGCCAGCTCCGTGCAGCCGCCGCCGGTCCGGCCGGCCGGGCGGGGGTGCTTCCCGATTTGTCTCCGAGGCCAACGCTCTGCGGTTGGCTCGGCCTCCCGCGCAAAAGTACGCAGAACCGCTTGCCGGACACGGGGTGGGAGTCCCCGGGATCGCAGGGTCCAGGGACTCTCCGTGGGTGCCAAGCTCCGTGACGAGAGTTAGTGAAGAATCACGAGCTACAAGCGTGGAGAAATGGAAGCAGAGGTCTTGAGAGGGTGGGCGCGGGTCCGCGACACTCACCTTCGCACAACGTATCTCCCTAGGCCAGGGGCGAAAGCTGGGGATCCCCCGAGCCGGGGCGCGCGCTCTGGCTCCTGCCTTTACCTGCGGTGGGCCTGGACAAACCGGCAGATGCCAGCCGCAGAGG